GGTTCAAGCAGTCCTCATGCCTCAGCCTCCCAAAGTGCTGGGATTAGAGGCATGAGCCACCATGCCTGGTGAGTGACTTTTTTTGAATACCTACTGCTAATGAACAGGCAGTTTATATACATGCTTTCTCTAATTCCCACAACAAACTTATGAGTAGGTATTATCCTCATTACACAAATGGGGAAAACGGGGCTCTAAGTGCTGACACTGAGCTTCCAAGTATTGTTGCATCAAAACTCATACTTTTTAGATTTGCTACATGCCCTTGCATCTCCCACTTCCACTTTTTGGTGGGGGAGCACCACTTTTTTCCAAATCTTCTCTCTGGGTACATTATCTAAATATATCATTTGAAAGATGAGAAACAAGGCCGGGTTCGGTGGCTCAGCCTGTAATCTCATGCTTTGGGAGGCCGAGGTGAATGAATTGCCTGAGCTTGCAGGTTTGAGACCCACCTGGGCAACTTGGCAAGACCTTATCTCTACAATAAATCAAAAAAATTAGCTGGGCGTGGTAGCACGTGCCTGTAGTTCCAGCTACTTGGAAGGCTGAGGCGGAAGGGTCGCTGGAGTCCAGCAGGTCGAGGCTGCAGTGGCCGGGAACTGGGCGACAGAGTGAGACTCCAACTCAAAAAAAATAAAATAAGCCGGGCTCAGTGGCTCAGCCTGCAATCCCACGCTTTGGGAGGCTGAGGTAAGTGGATTGCCTGAGCCTGCGGGTTGGAGACCCGCCTGGGCAACTTGGCGAGACCTCATCTCTACAGTAAATCAAAAAATCAGCCGGGCATGGTAGCGCATGCCTGTAATTCCGGCTACTCGGAAGACTAAGGCGGAAAGATCGCCGGAGCCCAGCAGGGAGCAGCCACTGCACTCCAGTCTGGGCGACAGAATGAGACTCCAACTCAAAATAAATAAATAAATAAATAAAATAAAATAATAAAAATAAAGAGAAAGGGCAGTTTTATTATCATTAAGGGCCCAGTAAATGTTAGAATAGTGCCTGGCACATGTGATGCTTTATATATGTTGTCTCATTTAATTCTCACAGTCCTGTTTTTTAAAATTTACTTATTTTAATTTTTTTGACTCGGAGTCTCACTCTGTTGCCCAGGCTGGAGGGCATACTCACAACTACTGCAGCCTTGACCTGCTGGGCTCAGAGGATCCTTCTGCCTCAGCCTCCCAAATAGCTGGAATTACAGACACATGCCACCATGCCTGACTAACTTTTTGATTTATTGTAGAGATGAGGTCTTGCCAAGTTGCCCAGGCGGGTCTCAAATCCCTGGATTCAGGCAGTCCTCTTGCCTCTACCTCCCAAAGTACTGGGATTGCAGGCTTGAGATACCACGCTTGGCTTTTTTTTTTTTAATTTAAAAAATTTGTATTTTAGGCCAGTCTCGGTGGCTCAGCCTGTAATCCCAGCACTTTGGGAGGCCAAGATGAGTGGATTACCTGAGCCTGCGGGTTCAAGACCAGCCTGGCCAACTTGGCGTGGCCTCGTCTCTACAATAAATCAAAAATTAGTTGGGAGTGGTAGCACGCACCTGTAGATCTGGCTACTTGGAAGGCTGAGGTGAAAGGATCGCCGGAGCCCAGCGGGTCGACACTGGAGTGGCCATGAGTATGCTACTGTACCCCAGCCTGGGTGACAGAGTGAGATTCCAACTCAAAAGAAAAAAAAGAGATAAAATAAGTAATTTGTATTTTATAGAGACCGGATCTTGCTCTGTTTCCTAAGCTGGTCTTGAACTCCTGGCCTCAGGCAATCTTTCCACCTCAGCCTCCCAATGTACTGGGATTACAGACATGAGCCACTATGCTCTGTCCCCGTTCTTTACAGTTGAGGAAACTGAGGCACAGAGCATTTAAGGAGCTTTCCCCAGATCACACAACTAGTTAGGAGTGGAGTTACGATATGAACCAAAGCAGGCTGCCTGATCATAGTCTGAGCTCTTGGCTACCACACTGCTCTTTCTACTAAAAAAACAAAAAACAAACAACCAGTTTATAGATTCCTGGCCTAGGAACATGTAGCAGGCCCAGGGAGTTCCTAGGGACATCTGGAGCCAGAGGGACCTCATTGGAAAATAAGATGCCAGACTCTGGAAAGGAAGTTGCTGACACCTTTTTTTGTTTTGTTTTGTTTGAGTTGGAGTCTCACTACCACACACCGACACCATTTTCAATAGTCCTGAACTGCCCTTGAGACAGAGCTTGGGAGCTAGGAGACTTTGCATAGGAGAGGCTAACCTACCAGTTGCAGTGTTGAGATGTGGCCACCAGGAGGCAGCAGAAAGTTGGGCTCCTAGCAGGAGAGGGCCTTGGGGAGCCCACCTCTCACCCTGGTCTTTGTACTTCAGGGCTCACTCGCTTTGACCTGCTGGGTGACTTTGGACGCTTCAACTGGCTGGGCAATTTCTACATCGTGTTCCTCTACAATACAGTCTTCGCTGGCCTCACCACACTCTGTCTGGTGAAGACCTTCACTGCAGCTGTGCGGGCAGAGCTGATCCAGGCATTTGGTGAGGGGGGGCGTGCCCACTGGTGGGTGGTCATATGAGTCACTCTGGATCACTGGTCATCCCAGCAGGGGAGTGGGTGTGCTTTCTGCTTTCTGTGTATCATACCCCATTCACCCATTCTGTGGCTTGGTTGTCTTATCTCTAAGGGACTGGGCCTGTGCCCCACTTTTGACTGCACACCTCCTCTTTTCTCCAGGGCTGGACAGACTGCCGCTGCCTGTCTCCGGTTTCCCTCGGGCATATAGGAAGACCCAGCACCAGTGACCTCCAGCTGGGGGTGGGAGGGAGAAAACTGGACACTGCCATCTGCTGCCTAGGCCTGGAGGAAAGCCCAAGGGTAGTTGGGCCTCAGGACCTGGAATCTGAGAGGGTGGGTGGCAGAGGGGAGCTGAGCCATCTGCACTGTTGCATAATCTGAGCCAGAGTTTGGGACCAGGGCCCCTGCTTTTCCAGACTTAACTGTGGCCTCAGCATGGATGGGGTAGGGCTGGGTAACTGGGTCTGGATCCTGGTCCCAAATCTGTTTACACATCAATCTGCCTCACTGCTGTTCCGGGCCATGCCCGTCGCCATGTTTACATGATTTGATGTGCAATAGGGTGGGTTGGGGACAGGGACAGGCTTAGGAGGCAGGTTGTCAGTCTTGCCTCTGGCGCAGCAGAGCCTAAGCACTGTGCTTTCCTGGAGGAGGGGCTTTAGACCACCAGAAAGACCAAGGGCATAGGGAGAAGGAAGAGGGTTTACCCATCAGCAATAAAGTCGATCCCAGGGTTTGCTTTGGTTTTTTTAAAAGAGCCTGTCTCTGTGTCTGTTTGAAGAGCCTTGCTCCTACCAGTCCTGAATCTGCCAAGAGAGAAACAGAGGGGCCCTGCACACCATATTTTTCCTTCTCCTTCATCTGCATTTTTAGTTTCCTTTGGGGACTTGGATCAGGTGCTAGGCCATACAATTGGGCAGTGAGAAGCTTATCCTCCCTTAGCCTTGCTTGAAGCTGGCTGGTCCCCTGACTCTTCCTTATGCCCGTGGCCTTGTTTCTGCACCTTGAGTTTTGGCAGTAGGATATGGGCATAGGAGTAGGATAACCTCCCTGCACTTGCACCTTCAGCCCTGTCACCTCTGACTTGACTATTGAACACAGTGAAAGAAGTATCTGGCTGGCAAGGATTTTTGATTCTTAGAGAAGAGCCTAATTTTTTCCCCAGATGCTATCAGTTCCTCAAATAGTCCCCTTGCTATGTTGGGGGTAGACAAGTTTATCCTTAGGGTTATACAGATTGTGCACTGCACCACTTCCAGGGGCACCATTCACCTCACAGTCATTGTGTGGATAGTTACGATAACAGTTTTCTCATCAATGGCAATCAGGCAACTTGAGGAAGAAGGGGTGCTTTCTTTCTAACGTGCACACGTTGCTGTGAGTGCTAGCCATGGAGCTGGGTGAGAGGAGGGTGAGTGGGATACAAAAAAGCATAGATTCCACAAATACTTGCCGAGCACCCTGCTGTAGGCTAGGCACTTGGGTTAACCTTGGAGATACGTGATAAACAAACTTGTGCTTAAGAATTGCTTTGTCTAGCAAGGGTGCCAGACAATTATAATACTGTTACAGCACAGCAGTGAATTACGGTTCTCAAGGAAACACAGGTGGGCAGTATTGGGACATCAGGGAAGGCTTCTTAGAGGAAGTGATTTCTAAACGATAGGAATTGGTGGGTGACATGCCTCTGAGGTGAATGACTGAAAGTAGAGTCCCAGGAGTCTAGGGAGAGGAAGCCGGAGAGGTGCCTTGATGGAAGGTGAAAAGCAGTGAGCCCCACCTCTTGCAGATGAAGACTAAGTGTTGCCCTTCAGCAGCTTCCAACTGACAAGTTATTCATTTTAAGAGAAACAGCTGTTGGATGCCTGGCAGAGAAGAGAAGGGACAAAAGTCCTAAACCAGCCAATAAGTACTAAGCTCTGTTTCTGGTTCTGGGGAAGTTCCTAGTAAAGGATGGTAGTTACCAGGGAAAAGGGACCCCTGGTATCCCCACCTCCCAGCCCTGGTTACTGTTGAGGGTGAAGAGAGGTGGAAGTGGGGAGGAGGTTGGGGGAGGACCACAGAACAGGGAGGCTCTGGTGGTATGCCCAAAGGCTTGGCTGGCCTTGGGCAGAAATTAGAACCCATACTTCCTGGATGACAGCGGAGGGCACGGCCTGCCAGGGTAGGCTTTGGGAGAGCAAAGATCCAATTCAAGTATCAGAGGAGGGTGGTTTGGTTCCAAGTTTAGGCTTGGAGGTAGAAGGATGCTTATACAGGCAGCCAAGGACTGTAAAGCTGCTAGGATTTCCTAGGCAGGTGCCTGCCTGGTTTCCAGGATGGGACACACTTCAGTCGCTAAATGGACCAGCGGTGACCGGCTAGGTCCCCCGCCCGGGTGGTAAGGGGCGGGACGGTCCTGGGAGAAGGGCGGGGGGCGGGGCCAGGGGCCACTTAAGGCGGAGTCCGGGCGTTCTGGCAGCACCAGTGCCGGGCAGCAGAGACGGGCTGGGCTGGCACTCACCCACGACCCCCCTTCCCCGCTATAATGGTCCGTCAGTAGCAGGCTCCAGAGCCCCCGGGGCACGTGGGCAGAGCGAGCCCCAGCCAGGTGCGCGGAGACACGAGCGCTTTAGGGTACTGTGGGGACAGCTCTGCCTGCTGCGCGCTCTGGTGCCTGTGGAGATGCCCAACTGACAGGCGAGTTCGTGGGGACAGGAACGTTCCCTCTTGGCCCAAGCCCGCTGTATCCATGGCGCTGCTGTCCAGTCTGCTACTCCTGTGCTGCTTGGCACTGCTGGCACTGCCAGCCCAGAGCTGTGGGCCGGGCCGGGGACCTGTGGGTCGGCGCCGCTACGTGCGCAAGCAGCTAGTGCCGCTGCTCTACAAGCAATTTGTACCCAGCGTGCCCGAGCGGACCCTGGGAGCCAGTGGGCCGGCCGAGGGGAGGGTGGCAAGGGGCTCCGAGCGCTTCCGGGACCTCGTGCCCAACTACAACCCAGACATCATCTTCAAGGATGAGGAGAACAGTGGCGCCGACCGCATGATGACCGAGGTAAGAGGGGGCCTGTCTCCACCTGCGCTAGGGCACCACCACCTCTGCGTTTTCCAATCGCAGCCCAGGAAAGTGAGCCAGGCTCCATCTACAGACTCCTTAGGCTTAAAGACCTCTCCTCCCCGACACCCCATCCCAAAAAACGTTCCCTAAGGGCAGGAGGGGGTGGTTAGGAAGGATCAAGGGGAGAGGCTGAGATGGGGAGGGGGAGGAGGAACTGACTAGTGAGAGTGAAGCTGGGAGAGGCATCGAGGGCGGGGAAAGGAGGATGGCGGCAGGCGAGACGGGAAATGGCTGAGGCGTGGACCGGGGGTCAGCCACCCAGCCAGGCAGGAAGGGCTGGGGTGAGCTGAGGGCCAGGAGCTGGCTAGGCAGCAGACAGAAGGTTCTACCCTTAGCCTGGGTCCTGACATGAAAAAGCTCTGTGAGCCCAAGAGAAGAGATTGAAGGGGCTGGGAAAGGGTTGGCCTAGGGGCAGGTCACCAGGCTTTCCACCTGAGGAGGGGCTGGGCAGGAATAGGCTTTAGCATGAGGAAGGTGACCTAGAACTGGGATAGGACTATGCTTAGGTCTAAAGGACAATCTTGGGGTACAAAAGCAGCCCTCAGTGATAACAGGTGAGGCCACCTGAGAATCAAAGGGCTCCTGGGTCCCCCAAGCTCAGCTTAGCTCAAGGACTTTTTTTTTTTTTGGAATTAAAACAAATTCAACTCCCACTATGAGCATCTATTGCAGACTGGAACTGAACCAACTAAGGGTGAGGTGGCCAGTGCCTTGGAAGAGAAGGACCACCTCTGGCCAGTGATGTTGAGTGTGCAAACTGAGAGAAAACTTGGAGGTCACATTCCTCCACCCCACCCCCATTTTACATCTGAGAATGGACTTTTCCCAGGAGGAAAAGCAATTTAATCAAAGTCTCACGACTAATGAGTGGCACGGCTGGGACTAGAATTCAGAACTCCTGTTTCTAAGCCCTATATACTTTCCATTACACCACCTAATTGTGTATGGAGTGGGGAGGTGGGGGAGAGGGAGGGGTACGGATTTCCTCTGATTAACTGCCTTAGTTTTCCAGGTTACTTTGTTAGGAAAACCTGTCCAGGGGAGAAAGAATTCCTTTTTGCTCTTGCCCTGAGGCTTTCCTCCTACCCAGAGATTGGGAAGGGGACATTCCTTCTTTCCTCCATGGCTGTGGAACATCATGGCCCTTTCCTCTGGCAGCCACCTGCAGCAGAGGGGGCAGAACAAGAGACAGGCTCAGGAGGGGCCGACAGGCCTGGGAGCCCCCTCAGTCCTGCTTATCTCCCACACCCTGGCTGCAAAAGGCCTCCATTGAGTTGGCTCTGCACTGGGCTGCTGCCCCCGCAGGTCAGGGCCTCAAGGCCTCCTTAGGGGACAAAACGACAAGAAGTTGGAAGGAGCTACCACTTTTCCTGTCCACTCCCCCAACTCTGCGGAGGTTCAGATGACTAGAGAAGAAGGACAGGGGAAAAGTGTGCCTCTGACAGTTAGGAGAAAACCAAGTCCAAGGTGAGAAGTCCAAGGGGAAGAAGAAAAGGAAGCTGTCCTCTCTGTGCCTCCTCCCGCGGTGTCCGTGCTGTGGTGTGCGCCAAGGTCTCCAGCTCCCCAGTCTGGAGCCGCCAAGATAACTGTGGTCTCACTCCCCCGGTGCAGGCTTCCAGAAGCTGTTTCTTCTCCTCCTCTCCACTCCCACCCTGCAGGGGGCCCCCCAGATCCGCGCAAGGGCAGCTCCCGTATTCTCAGGTGCTACTCCCACGCCGTTCCGGGCAGCATCTGGAACCGAGATGGAGAGATGGGGGCTCTCCGGGCTGGCAACGTCTTAGCTGGAACGGGGAGGACTGGCCGCGCTGGGGGAGGGGACCTAGCGGGCCGGAGCTGGGATGAGGGGCGCGGCTTTCTGCCCTTTCCTCTCCCTGAGCCGGGGCGGCTGAAAAGCGCCTTTGTGGCTGGAGCTGCTGAGTCCGCTTCTCCCAGCGCGTCCCCGGCCTCAGCCCGGGATTCTCGCTCGGTTAAGTCATTCCGGAGAATGGCCATTGTACTTTGCGCAGCCCCCGCCGCCCCAACTCTTTTCCCAACGGCCTCGGTCCCGCACGGTTCTTCTTGGGCACCTCTGTGGGGGGCACCCAGACCACGAAGGGGTTAATGCTAGGGGCCAAAAGGAGGAGGAGGAAGGAAGGAAGGAAGCGATGCCCGGTGCCAGGGAAGGCAACGAAACAAAAGATGAATCAGGCGGAGGGAGGGCAGCGGGGGCCTGGGGCGGGGGCCAGCCCCAAACAGGGGCCCCTCTGGAGGAGCCAGGCCCTCCCTGACCACTGCTGCCATTTGCCCTCTCGACTCTGGCCCTCTCCCACGTTGAGCCGAAGTCCCAGGACCAGTAGGAGTGAGGGGTGGGCATTGGAAACGGGGAAAGAGCTAGGTACGGGCCCCTCTCTCAGCCTCAGAGATGACCCCACAGTTCTCCAACAACACCCTGGGAAGGTAGTGAAGATTGGTGACTACCCCATCCAGATTCTCACTTCCCCAGGGCACTAAAAAAGCTGGGAGAGAGAGGGGCCTAAATACCAATCAGGAATCAGCCCTCCTATCTGGGTCCCTTTTGCCCCGCTGGTGGTGGTGGTGGTGGTGGTGGTGGTGAGACTGACTCCTTTATTCCCCGCCAGCGCTGTAAGGAGCGGGTGAACGCGCTGGCCATTGCCGTGATGAACATGTGGCCTGGAGTGCGCCTGCGGGTGACCGAGGGCTGGGACGAGGACGGACACCACGCTCAGGACTCTCTCCACTACGAAGGCCGCGCTTTGGACATCACCACGTCCGACCGCGACCGCAATAAGTATGGGTTGCTGGCGCGCCTGGCAGTGGAAGCTGGCTTCGACTGGGTCTACTACGAGTCCCGCAACCATGTCCACGTGTCGGTCAAAGCTGGTACAGTAAGGGGCGGGTGGCAAGTTTCGCCCAAAGGGGGCTCCCTCCGGGAAACTGAGTCTGCAGTAGTTCTTTTATTCCCCTAGAGGAGACCAAGCGGGCGTTAGTGTTGTACACCACCCTTCCATTTCTGCCAAGGTTGGGGCTAGATTAATGGGAAATTGCGTTGTCCAGGACTGGTGAGGTCTGCACTGGGCTTTCCCATATCTTGGAGAATCTGTACCAACATCCTGGAGCCGCTGGTCTTGACTCAGTCCTCCGTATGGTTGTTCCCTGCAGATAACTCACTGGCGGTCCGGGCGGGCGGCTGCTTTCCGGGAAATGCCACCGTGCGCCTGCGGAGCGGCGAGCGGAAGGGGCTGCGGGAACTGCATGGAGGAGACTGGGTGCTGGCGGCGGATGCGGCGGGCCGGGTGGTGCCCACGCCGGTGCTGCTCTTCCTGGACCGGGACTTGCAGCGCCGCGCCTCCTTTGTGGCTGTGGAGACCGAGCGGCCCCCGCGCAAACTGTTGCTCACGCCCTGGCACCTGGTGTTCGCCGCTCGGGGGCCGGCGCCCGCGCCAGGCGACTTTGCACCGGTGTTCGCGCGCCGGCTGCGCGCCGGGGACTCGGTGCTGGCGCCCGGCGGGGACGCGCTGCGGCCGGCGCGCGTGGCCCGCGTGGCGCGGGAAGAAGCCGTGGGCGTGTTCGCGCCGCTCACCGCACACGGGACGCTGCTGGTCAACGATGTCCTGGCCTCGTGCTACGCGGTTCTGGAGAGTCACCAGTGGGCGCACCGCGCCTTTGCTCCTTTGCGTCTGCTGCACGCGCTGGGGGCGCTGCTCCCCGGCGGGGCGGTCCAGCCTACTGGCATGCACTGGTACTCTCGGCTTCTCTACCGCTTGGCGGAGGAGTTGCTGGGCTAACCGGCCCAAGCATGGAAACCTCGAGGGGCCCGACGAAACGGGGGCATGCTGGCTGAAATCTGGGGAAGCAGGCGGTGCCGACTGGGAGGGAGGGAGGGAAGGATAGGGAGACACATGGGGCTATATGGAAACTGCCTGGCTTAGGGGCAACTTCGAACTGAATTCAGGGAGGTGATCCCGGGTCCTAGGTAGGCGGGGCTCATGGTGCGCACTCCGTGACGAAGACTGTTTAGCCTTTTCCCCAGTGCTTCAGCCCTACCCGATAATTTTATTTTATTTTCTATTTATAAATTGTAATATAATGATCTGCTTGCCCAGCCTGCCAAGGTGAGGAGCTGGGGCATGTCGTTAGCACCGTCTGACACAATCAGCCGATCTGACGTCTGACATTTTCCTGCAGGTAGGCTAATATAGGAAAGGCTTCCAGAAGCTTACTGGAAAGCACCTCCATTCAGAGAGTGACACCTCCATTAAGAGAGTGGGAGAAAGGAGACCAACCTGAGTTAACACCTTACTTCTGGCTCCCCTTTCCTTCCACAGCAGGGTCTTCCGGGCCCTCTTCCTCCCTTCAGAGGGGGTCTCCCAATCCATCAGTGACAGGGACCGGAAGAGTCCTGCCCTTTTCTAGTCTGCTGTTTCCACCTCCCACCCAGAGAGGACTAGCTTTCTGCCGCGCGTGGCACACCAGCTGGAGGGCCCAGGGTTGTCCAGGCAGCGGGAAAGCCTGTGTACGTTTCTTTATAGGGGCTCAGGCCCCTATGGGTACTGATACTCTACATATCTCAGCCCCCTATTGTTAACCAGCAGTTCTGACCCCACCCTCAAGGCTATGAATCAGACCCTGGTGGTAGGGTCCGGATGGGGCGGATGTTTTTTCTGGGATGTCACTGGGCTAACGGATGACCCATGGGAACTGTGGCTAATCAGTTACAGTCCCCACATACTCGTGGCCTAAGAAAAGAAGGGGGGCGGGGCGGGCTGGAACCCGTTCTTACTAAAGGGCTGCACAGAAAGAACGGGTTCAGCCTTGGTGTATGTGGGGGAAATGGGCTCCCTAAGCAAGGACATATCAGTATTACAGCCCGAGCTCCGCTCCTGATTACGTGTCCTAGTTGTTGTTTCTAGCTTCTTCTACCGCCGCCCCTCCTCCCTCTCCCATTATCAGCGGCTCTGCTTCCCCAACCTGGGTGTTTTCGGAACCTTTGGGTTCCAGCGCAGTAAACACCTGGAATCCAGGCAGCAGGTGCCCTGGGCTCAAGCTCGAAGGAGGTACGGCTGCTCCAGAAGGGGAGTGTCTAGAGTCGGGGTGGGGATGGGATGGGGGAGAGTCAGGGGTTGTTGGTATTGCCAGGAGCCCTAGCGCGGTGCGCTCCCAGCGCACGGGGCCCCTGCTATATACCGCCCTCTGGTGGCCTTCAGGAAAATTCTGGGCTTATACATTTGGTTCTCCATATTGAACTTGTACAAAGGAGCCCTCTCTCAGGAGGGGAGAGATGATGGGTGGACCATGTTAAGCCGCCAGTGCTCACACATGTGCCAGGAGCAGGCAAGGAGCCCGCCTGCCTGTCTTTGGGAAAGCACTTCCAAACCATGGCAGTTTATACCCTGGTGCCTAATTTAAGGAAGCTGGAGGTGTAGTAGGAGTATATCTGTAGTAGTCCAGACTTCCACACCGAAGTCATCTCCTCATGTCCATCACCCTTGTAGCCCTTGAGTTCATTGGTCAAGTAGGTGAAAGCATAATAGGGTTCCAGATAGTGCTTTATAAAGGCAACGTGGGCTGAGTGTGGTGGCTCACACCTACAATCCCAGCACTTTGCGGGGGTCGAGATGAGAGGATTGTCTGACCCCACAGGTTTGAGATCAGCCTGGGCAACTTGGTGAGATGTCATCCCTACAATAAATCAAAAAACTAGCTGGGTGAGGTGGTGCCCGCCTGTAGTTCCAGCTACTTGGAAGGCTGAGGCAGAGGGATTGTCGAGGTTGCGGTGGCCATGAGTGTGCCACTGCCCTCCAGCCTGGGTGACAGAGTGAGACTCCAACTCAAAAACAAAATAAAATAAAGGCAATATTTCATATCCCTCCAGCCACCATTGCCCTCAGTCCGCACCAGGTGCCTGTTGCCACGCCCCCTTTGTCCGTGTCTCAGAAACACACCCAAGCTGTGGATCATTCCTACATTCTTTCTAAACCTAACCCTTGTCTCCTATCAGATCCAGGTGACTTCCTGTCATGTCACCTCAGGTGATGACTAATCTGATAAACTAATTGGTTTTTTTATGTTGATGGACTCCATGGTTTTACTATCCCTCCCAGCATATATCTTAAAGGCTTGATGATGCTGATTCCTAGCTTCTTGATAAATTGGGGACAAAGATAACTCATTAGTTCCTTTGAACTGCAACCTGTAGGTAACTGCTGAGGATTGGAGGTTACCTCTCACACTTCCCATCCTCCCCACACAGTTGCATCCTTTATTATCTTGTTCCCTTGAGGCCTCTTCTAGCTTTTTTTTTTTTTTTTTTGGGGGGGTCTCACTCTACTACCCAAGCTGGAGTGCAGTAGCACGCTTATAGCCACCGCAGCTGCTATCTGCTGGGCTCAGGCAATCCTTCCGCCTCAGTCTTCCTAGTAGCTAGAACTACAGGCGGGCACCACCACACCCGGCTAATTTTTTGATTTATGGTAGAGATGAGGTCTTGCCAATCAGGTAATCCTCTCACCTCCACATCTCAAAGTGCTGGGATTACAGGTGTGAGCCACCTCACCAGGCAACTCTATTTTAAAAAAATCCTTTCCCTTCCCTCAAGCAGCAAAGCGCACCATCTGGGTGCAGCAGGTTGGCATATTAACTTGGCTGTGCAATACCTTCTAACAGCAACATCTCTTATCAACAAAGTGGGCAGTAAGAATTAGAGAAAGAACATGGCTTGGAAATCAGCTAAATCTGGGAATAATGATACTCCCTGACGGAATGGTTGGCAGGGACTGTACCCAATGTGGAATGGACACTCAGGAAATGTTTTCTTTTCTTTGGCTTTTCCTCACTGGCTTTGCTGTTTTCTGCTCTCTGACCGCTTCTCTCCTTGCCACTCTGCTAAAAGCATTTTCAGTGCAAACTTTCTAGGGTTGTGCCATACCTACGATTGTTTGATTTCATAGTGCTCCTTTTTTTCAGAAAGTGCTATGTGACAGACTTGGGTTTGTTTTAGAACTAAAGTATCATTAAATGTAATCTTGTTTTGAGAACTTATGATCACCCTAGCAAGACCTCTCTGCATGCTGTGAAATCAGAGTTGGGAAACACTGATTAGAGGGTCCGGTGACCTGTTCATCTGCCCAGAATCCTGTCTTTCTTTTATTCCTCCTTCCTTTCTTCAAGCAGGATTTACTGAACATCTACAGTGTAGCACTGTATTAGGTGCTGAAAAACATAAAAGGGTAAGAAACAGTCTCTTCCCTGGAGAAGTGGACATAAATGCATAAAATGTTTAACTACCAAAGCAACATTGTTACTTAATGGGGATGAGCCGAACTGGCAGTAAATGCCATGGTAGTACAGAGAAGGCCTTGTGGAGAAAGGAGAAAGGACTAGGATGTTGAAGCATGTGTAGGCGGAGGAGGCTGGAAAGGGCATTCCAGGCAAACGGGACATCATGAGCAAGGGCTTGGCATCTGGGTTGAAGATGTGCAGAACGTTTTTTTTGAGTTGGAGTCTCATTCTGTCGCCCAGGCTGGAGTGTAGTGGCACCCTCACAGCCACCACCACCTAGACCCGCGGGTCTCAGGAGATCCTTCCGCCTCAGCCTTCCAAGTAGCTAAGAACTACAGGCTCACGCTACCATGTCCAGCTTATTTTTTGATTTATTATAGATGAGGTCTCGCCAAGTTGCCCAGACTGGTCTCAAACCGCTGAGTTTGGGTAATCCCCTCGCCTCAGTCTCCCAAAGTGCTGGGATTACAGATTTGGGCCACCGCACCTGGCCAAAAATATGCAGCACATTTACAGCAGGAGACTGGGGAGGTGTAACAATATGTAGCTAATGGTTACTGTGAACTTATTTTTATTTATTTATTTATTTCGAGTCGAAGTCTCACTCTGTCACCCAGGCTGGACTGCAGTGGCACGCTCACGGCCACTGGAGCCTTGACCTGCTGGGCTCAGGCGATCCTTCTGCCTCAGCCTTCCAACTAGCTGGAACTACAAACAAGCACCACCATGCCCGGCTGATTTTCAGATTCATTGTAAAGATGAGATCTTGCCTTGTTACTCAGGCTGGTCTCGAACTCCTGAGCTCAGATCATCCTCTTGGCTCTGCCTCCCAGAGTGTTGGGATTACAGGCGTGAACCACCGCACCCAGCTTGATTACTGATAATTTAGTTAAGTGCCTGGCCTTGTTCTTGCACTTCATGTACATCCTTTTAATCCTCACAATGACCCTCTGAGATGGTGTTACAGATGAGGAAACTGAGGTGAAGAGAAGCTTAAATCACTTTCCAAAGTTCCAAGCCAGTATGTGATGAAATGGAGCCGCAGGAACAAGAAATATGACTGCTTGGATGGATGGGGCCACATCATGTGGGGCCTGAAGCTGGTTTTCACTCTTGCTCATTCCCTTCACTGAGTCACTGTAATGTCCCCTAGCTTTCCGACAGTTATTTCTCTCTCATTTTCTTTAATTTTTTTTTTTTTTTTTTTGAGTTGGAGTCTCACTCCGTCCCCCAGGCTGGAGTGCAGTGGCAAGCTCACAGCTACTGTAGCCTTGACCTGCTGGGCTCAGGCAATCCTTCCGCCTCAGCCTTCCAAGTAGCTGGAACTACAGGTGCGAGCTACCATGCCTGGCTAATTTTTAAATTTATTGTAGAGATGAGGGCTCACCAAGTTGCCCAGGCTGGTCTCAAATCCCTGAGCTCAGGCAATCCTCTCACCTCAGCCTCCCAAAGTGCTGAAATTACAGGCATGAGGCACCACCCGACTTCTCTCATTTTCATTGATTCTTCTTCCTGACTGAATGACTGGCCTTCCTAAATAAAACTCTCTAGCCATACAGTTAAAGAAACACATACCTATATTGATACAGGTTTCTGACAGGAATCCACGGCAGGCTGGTGTACCAACACAGAAAGTTTAAGAAGATCCTTAGCTCTTTTTGGGCTAGAGAAGGAGAGGGAAGGTTGAGCTTTGTTATGAACTGAATGTACTCCCACCCCAAATTCATATATGTTGAAGCCCAAACCCCAGCGTGGCTTTGTTTGGAGATGAGACCTCTAAGGAAGTAATTAATGTTATGTGAGGTCATAAGGGTAGGGCCTTGACCCTACAGGATTTATGCCCTTTCAAGAACAGACGCCAGAGTGCTCTGCTCCCTCCCCACACCCACTCACTGTACTAACCCTCCGAGATGGTATTATGCACCGAGGAAAGGCCATGGGAGGACAT